CCAAGAATTTCGTTGACATCATATATAGGGCTAAGATGCTTTCTGTCTGCATATACATATCAGTTTATCAAATGACAACCAGGAGCTTCAGTGTCATTCCAAATGCATGGTGAGGGAAATACTAAGTTTACAAGAGTCACTTATTCCCTATTGCATTCATTCTTGCCTGTTTTTTTGTTTTATTTGTTTTTTACCCCAACCCCAGGCTCAATTGCAATCCTAAGAAAGTAGGGAGGAGTTCAGGCAAAGATAGACAGTATTCCTCTGACATTTCAGAAAACATTATTCTGCTTTGCATTTATACTCAATTCAGCAAGGCACTTGGCACATAGTAAGTACTCTATCAATCCCTGTTGAATTAACAGTATAGCAACTATACTCTATTTTGTGAGGGGAAGAAAGGGTCAAATATAGAAGTTTGAAGATCACTACTGAGGCGTGAATAACTCCTTAACCAGTATTCATGCTTCAACATCATCCAGAGTTTCAACAGGTTAGAGAGTAGGAAATAGCTTGTATATAAATAATAAACCAAGTATTAGAAGGATAATAGTCAAACTTCTAATTCAGTTATGAAACATTAAAAAAACAACTTGACTCTTTTTTGTCCCCTTTAAGTCTAACTTGGGCTCATCAAATGCCATATAAGATTCCAGACAGATACCTGAAGTCGATCTGCTTGATACTTCCTTCCAGAGTAAGCATTTAGGTATTCGCAGAGACTGAACAGGAAGTGCTGAATATTACTCTGTAGGTATTTTGCAGCTATCTCCTCTAGGGGAATGAAGACTGGAATCGAATGGTGATGTATCCGAAGTGGTTTCTGTATGACAAGATCCACAAAATAGGAATCCAGCAGGTTCCCCTCAAAAGCAGTGCTGATGGAAACACAGACTCCTCGGCTGGTCCGTTTCCCACTGAGCCCTGAGGCAAACAAGACAACGCACCTCAACAAATGTCAGGCAAAGTTAGTACCTTACTCACCTGTTCATACCAGCTGCTCCAGCACCACCTAGGACCACACGTATAGTGTGTACTCAAGTGTTTGTTGAATGAATGACTATCATAGACTCTTTCCCCTCATTAACTCTCACTTTGAGTTAAAACCATAGGATGGTGGGAAGAAGAAAAATCCTAAATAGCAATTATTGAGGAAGAGATTTTGAAAATTTCAATTTACCTATTCTCTTTTATTCTGAGTGTTAAATAATTTATGGTAGTACCCAGTTCTCCCCACAATCCTCTTGTGACATAGATAATGAGACTAAACCCCCATATTAATGGTGAAACAGACTTGAGGGGCTCAAACTATTTGACCAGTGGCATAAAGCAAGCCAGAAGTAAAGAAAGTTCTAGTACAGGATCTGGCACACACTGAACAGCTAAAATGAATAGTTGAAACCAGCTACTAATCAATCTGCTGCACCAAGAGGCCAATATTGTAGGTAAAGATGCCTACAAATACTATGCCAGTTTTTTGTGTATATTGAGGGGGCAAAACCAATGCTCAAGGAGTAAGTCCAAGACTAATAATACAACTAGCAAACTAACTCAGTAGAGACAAGAGACCCAGACTGAAACAGGTTAGAAAAACGTATACCTGTAAAACGATATGCTTGCAGAATGGATTTCACATTTTCTCGTTTTTTTTCCAAAACTTCTTGCTCACTGACCTCAAATGTTTGGTCAGGTTCTACACTGGCTTCTACCTGAAAGATATGCAGCAAATCAGATGGTACAAAAGGGCATAACACAAAGTCCTGCTTGCATCAAACTGGAATAAAGCTGAATAGAATGTGTATTACACAATGAATGAAGAAATGCTACAGTGGTCTACCAGTGCTATGAATTCATAGTAGAGGAAGAATCTCATGGGTCACAGTGCTAGGATCGTGCTGGCCTAAAGAGTATTGTGAGAGGCTAAAGAAAAGGGTGTGAAGAAAAGTCTAGTGTGAACACAGGGTGAGTTGCAAAGAGGCAAAGCTGGAAAGTTGGTTTGGATCAGCAAGCTTTCAAGTGGCAGGATAAGAAATCCTGACTCTAGGATGCACACTTAGAGAGCAATGGCCCAATAGATAGTCTCAGACTGGCGCTCCCTCTGAGAACTACATAGCAGGTTCCCCTCAAAAGCAGTTCTAAAACTAAGCAAGCAAACATACAAGCAAATAAACAAAATGGTCTGAAGGCATTACAGAACCACCAAAATAGCCAGACTGAAGGTTAAAGATACATGCTCTGAGCTTAGCTGGGCTTTCCCTGCAGCTCCCCCTTCGGAGCATTTGATTTGTATCACAAGGCATATGAGTCAAATAGAAAGCTATAGGCCAGACTGTGTAGCAGTCTAAGACAAAAAACGAGGCCAAAGTTACCAAAGCAGCCTTTCTATGGGCCAAGATCCCATCAAGAAGGGAACCCAACATTCTGCAGGCAATGTACCCTCCAGGCAAAGAGCGGTAAGCATAAAATTAGATTCCTAAATCAAACTTCATTAAAACAAAGGCTCATCACGAGACTCCATCAGAGAATGAAAAGGCAAGCTACAATGTAAGAGAAGATTTGTAAAACATATACCAAAGAATTCATATCCAAAATACGTAAAGAATTCTACAACTTAAAGAGGTAGACAACCCAATAAAATTTTTGCAAAAGCCTTGAAAAGCATACTTTACAAAAGAAGACTCTGAAGTGTCTAATACAGGTACTTAACATCATTACTTATTAGGCAAATGCAAATTAATTCACAATGAGATACTATTATACTCCCACCAGAATGTCAAATTTTTAAAACTAACAATATCAACTATAGATAAAGATGCAAAACAATGGAAAGCTTATACAATATTGCTGGGAATGTAAAACTGGTGCAATCACTTTCAAAAGCTGTTTGGGCCCTAGCCAGTTTGGCTCAGTGGATAGAGCGTCGGCCTGCGGACTGAAGGGTCCCAGGTTCGATTCCGGCCAAGGGCACATGCCTGAGTTGTGGGCTCCATCCCCAGTAGCGGGCGTGCAGGAGGCAGCCAATCAATGATTCCCTCTTATCATTGATGTTTCTATCTCTCTCTCCCTCTTCCTTCCTCTCTGAAATCAATAAAGAAATATATTTTAAAAAAAATAAAAAAGCTGTTTGGCAGTATTTACTAAAGCTAATATGCATACCCGTGACCCAGCAATTCTACCAAATCCATACCTAATAGAAAGGTGTATATTTTTAGACCAAAACACAGGAACAAGGATATTCATAGCAGCATTCTTCTTTTTAAGTGTCACCTGAGAATATGTGTGTGTGTGTGTGTGTGTGTGTGTGTTTTAATTGATTTTAGAGAGAAGAATGGAGAGGGAGAGAAACATTAATGCAAGAAACATCCATGGATTGCTTCCAGTACACGCCCCAATTGGGGATCAAACCCAGAACCTGATCAAGAACCAAACCTGTAATCCTTTGGTGCACCGGATGCTCCAACCAATCGAGCCACACTGGTCAGGGCATCAGCATTATTCTTAATAGACCCAAAGTGAAACAGCCCCAATAACCCAAATGTCACCAACAGTACAATAGCTAAATTAACTGTGGAATATTCATAACATATTACTATACAGCAATAAAAAAAGAATGACCATTACATGCAACAACATGAATCTCACAGACATAATATTCAGCTAAAGAAGCCAGACATGAATTTTCTAATTTTAACAATTATATGAAGTTCAAAAACAGGTAAAACCAACGTGTGATGACAGAAATCAGAATAGTGGTTACCTTGAGGGAAATGACTAGGATACAAGAGGGAGACTTAGGGCACTGATAATATTCTCTGCTTTGATCTGTGTGGTACAGGTGTGTTCACTTTGTAAACGGTTCTGCAGATTTGTCCTCTTTACATATATTTACAGATATATTTTACTTTAATAAAAAAGTAAAGGGAGGGAAGGAGGGAGAGAGAGAAGCGAGTAAAGAGGGCAATGGAAGAGAGGTGGGAAGGTGAGAAAAAGAAGGCTGACCATAGCCATGGGCAATGAATGGTTAGTGAAGGTTTTTGAGCAAGGAAACGACAGTGTTTTATGAAAGCATTTTCTTGGCTGTGTAGGATTTACTGGAGGAGTAAAATACTAGAGAAGAGAACCAACTAGCAGACTATTGTGACAATCCCGGCATCCAAATCACCTGATACATATTTATAGCAGATGTGGATAATACTCGAGTTATTGCAATAGAGTGGAGAAGGAAGAGGAGGAAGCACAAAGACTACCTAAAAGAAAATTTGCGAGTTCTTGCTGGCTGGACCTGGGCTAGATAGAAAACTGAAAAGAGGAAAGAGTCAATGTTTACTGTGAGGCTTCAAGTCTGGGCAACAGAAAAATGGCACTAATGACACGGTACCAATGACTCAAGTCAGACTGAGCCTGGGCAACAGGTTCATGTCGGAGGGCAGGTTTTAGAACCTGCGGGGCCATCAGTAATGCCTGAGAATTGTTAGTTGATGTTGATATTAGCCGAGACCTACAGGTTTGATGAGGGATCAAGGACTGAAATCAATCCAGTAAGATCACAGGTAAATCACATTATACAGATTTTCGAATTCCCAGGTCATGCTCTTTACACACCAGGGAAGCCTGCCAACAATCACCCTCCTACTCACTCCGGCCTGACGTCGGTTCACTTCCGCCCTCAGTTTATCTCGCAGACTCCTCAGGTTACGAATCTTGTTTCCAAGAGCGCTCTCCGCTCCCTGTGGCTCTTCGAATTTTTTACGGGATTCAGCCTCTAGTCTTTCCAAGTGAGCGAGCACACCTGAAGAAAGCAGAGAGAATTTCTCAAGAAGCCAAGCATTTCCAATTCTGGCAGCAGAAAGCATTGCAGGGAATAAAGGATGACACCCCCCTCCCCTTTTTTCCCCAGAACTTTGTGGCTAGTTAATTGTTAGACATTGGCCACAATTGATAAAACCAGAAGAACTGACAACAGAAACCAAAGATCAGCAGCCTCTTAGCCTGAACACCGATGTACAAGCAAGCAGTCCCTAACCAGGACAACGTCCAAAAAAGAACATTCTCTGAATACAGCTAATCTCAGCTATCCGTGGTGATAATAACCCAGCGGAAAACAGTCACCAAATTCACTGGCTCTCTCAGAAACTGTTTTTCAAAATGTAGAATTGTTTCTTAAATTGGTTTTTATGTATGTTTCCCCAAAGTGCTAAAGCATAATTCTTTGAAGCTCTGAAAAATATAAGAGCACAAACTAAGAGAATGGCCCACAAATATTAGAGAGGAAAACACGCTCCCTGCTGGACAGAAACTCAGAGGCAAATGTCAGTTCCCTAGAGATGGACTAAGGACCAACACCAGTGCACCTGGTTGTACGGTGCGTCCTTCACTGCCCTTCCCAGTACAGTGGGGTGTGTGTGTGTGTGTGTGTGTGTGTTTTACAAACTGAAAGCAACAATCCCACACCAGTGAGCAGATTCTGACTTGCTTCATGGCAGCGCTCTAGAACTGAACCCGGAATATCTCTGGGGGATGCCTGCACCGTAAAGGTCGTATTTTCATAATCAACTCCAATAAAGCATCTGCTGAACTCTTCCTACGTATTAACACACGTGTGCTAGGTTATTTACTTGCAAAACGTAAAGAATCAAAGCATTTATTGAATATGTCATATATATACATATATATGTGTATATATATGTGTGTGTGTGTGTTAAATGCTTTCCGTGAGAAACAGGAAAAGAATTGTTTATCTAATTCCCACACTACCACAATGCTGCTATTCACCCCCACTTTCCAGGTAAAAAACGAAGCAGAGAAAGGGAAAATAACCTGCCCAAGGCCACAGCGTTTGCAGCGGCAGAGCCGGGACTCCAACCCAGCTCTCACCGATGCCAACGCCCCCGCCTGGCACTGCCTCTCCCACGGAGTCATGCATAAAGGCCCCCCGAAATCCTGGGAAGAGAGAGGGAGACCTCGCTGGTTAGAACTGTAGCCCTGGAAAGAGACACAGCACATGATGAATGCAAACGACCGGTGTAAAAAGGGGCCGGAGCCTAGAAACATGTGAAGTTCATTGTGCCCTGATGATCTTAGCCGCTGGTCCCTCAGACCGGCAATAAGGCGAGTCCCACCTTTTTGCAGGTGGGGGTTTTGCCTTCAAATTGTAAAAACCACGAAACCTGTGCGGCGCAAGTGGGGTGTGCGTGCCCAGTGCCTTCCACTGTCCCGCTCCCCAATGGGGCAGGCACCACAGAGGGGGGGGGGTGGTCATCTCTGGGCAGCAGCCGCGAAGGATTAGAGACAGCCGCTTGAATACCTGCCCCGGACCCAACCTCCGGACTGGAAGTGTCCGCCAGTTCCATCCGCTCAGGTTTCCAAATCCACCAGCCTTCCCGGGAAGCGGTCCAGGCGCCGGCAGCAAGAACCTAGATTTCCGCGCCGACACAAGAAAAAATGGCAAGGAAGTCACATCTAGCCACCTCCAGACACACCTACACGGTAGAACAACACCCCAAGGGTCACTGCCAGGACTCCCCTTCCCCGCCCCGC